CAGGGAGTGAGAATAAGTGCCGTGAATGGTATTATTTTCTGTTCTGTTTGATTTTTAATTTCAGATGTTGCTCTGCATGTTAACCAGAACAGTTCATCAGCTTTTATGGATATTAGACCTACTGAAAAGTTCTGTGGAAGGTCTGCAGAAAGTTTTTGCTAAGTAAAAAAAGACTAGAGAAAAATAAACAGTTCAAAGATTAAACCAGTTGGAAAAATAAAACAACAATTTGAACTTGGGTATTTAAAATGCTTTCTAAATGGAAACTTTAGACAGACCTAATTCCTTCTATTTTTCTGATCTATAGTTTGCCTAGAGGACTTTACATAAACTTCTGCTGAAGCATTTGGTTGCTAAAATTGTGATGTTGGAATAGCTTCCATTCCCCACTCCCCCCAAAAAAGGCTTTTGTTCATTCTGTGGTGTTATATACGACTGTGTTATAACAGTTAGCAATTCTGCTGGGAATCTCTTAATCATGTGGTTACAAAAATGAGTACAATGAGAGAGGTTTTTGAAGATGAATTTAATTCGATAAATGCCATAGCACTTTAGCACTAGATAAATAGCTAGCTGTAATGAATTAGGCAGGTTCTAGGATATCTAGGATAACACTAGGCAAGTCGCAGCATAGCACTGCTGTAGCCTTGAAAACATTCCTACCAACATTAATCATCAAAATACCTCCATGATACAGATAACACTAATGAGCCTGACAAGCGTGTTTGTCCAGGTTTTTCGAGAGAACCAATGTCAAGTTCTTGTCTCTGAGTGCTGTGCTTAGAGCCTGCTGCCAACTCTTTTTTCGCTAGCAGAAATTTGACAATAGAGTCAAATACGGTTAGAACCAACACTGATTTTAGACTGCGTTGTAATAAAAGTTGGGGGTTTTGCACCTATCAAAAGTTACCCATGATAATGATCTTTTACCAGCTTTCAAGAGGCAGGCAGAATGTAGTGAGATATACTGTGATAACATTTTCTCTGTTCACGTGTTTTTTAATGTCCAAGGATGTAGATGCATGTCCTGTTGTTTAATAGTTTGACTTAATTTTAAGCATCTCTACAGTAGAAATTGCAAAGCAGCCAGAACTTTAAATTGGCCGAGTAGATTATTCCCCTCATTATTTCTTTTTCCCATAAGTCTCAGTGAGAGGTATGTTAGAAGAATTTCCCAAGAAGCATCTAGTTCAACTACCAATAAACTGTCCCAGTTGTCAACTGAAGTGAAGATTTTTTTTCTAGTCTGCTAGGTCAGCAGAGAAAAGTTTTCTTCTCCCAGTTAGTTTTTAGCTGTGTATGTCAGTAGGATAGAACTGAATTTGGGAATATTTCTGCAGTAGTGTTTGCCTGCAGAAATAGCCAGAACAACTGAATATGTCATAAACAGAATCGTTCTCTTCCCTTTTCAGGAAGACTGTAGTCATTATGTAATTGCTGATTCAAGTGGTCCTGGCTGTCCTGTTCCTGGTCAAAATATTGTTTTATATGCAAGTGAATGTGTGATCATATGCACAGGTGAACATATGACAGAGCTGAATAAGATAAAATTGAGTACAATTGTTGCTGCTGTGAGGAACTGAAGACTGTTTTGGTATTGCTTGTGAATTTTAGGGAGGTATTAATGGTGTCTTTCAGCCTGTTGCCTACCCAGCATCTCTAGGCACAAATTGAGGCTTCGACTGACAGTTCCTTCCTCTGGTACGTTCGACTTTGACCTTGTTCACAGTGAAGCTGCAATCAGTTGTGTGAAGAGGCAAAGCATACACATTTGATTCTTATCTGTCTGTTCCCATGAAGTGATGCTTGTAATGTTGGTCATCTTAGAAATACATGTAATATTGTTGTGTAATCAGTTGCTGGTAATATGTTGGTAATATGTCAGTAATATGTTGGTAATTGTTGTGTTATCAGTTGCTAGGCATGCATTGGATGTCCTCTGCTTCACACTACTCGTACTTTAATATGAAGATTATGATTGCAGACATATTATTGTAGTAGAGGTTCAGAAGTTGAGATGGATATGAAACGCAGTGGTGTGAGTGGCTGAACAGCTGCAGTGCTGCTCACTTTTTGAGACAGATGAGCTAAAATAACTTAAAAAATTAATTTATGATTTTAAACTCTTCCATGTTTGTAGAGTGCTTGGATGACCAGATACATCCCCCTTTCCATGTTGAGTTTTGAGGCCTGAATTTTTACTTAACTTGCACTAAAAAGGAGGTTTTAATTTGATTCTCACGAGTGAAATATTTCAGAAACACAGAAGCAAGACATAAAACTTTGTTACATGAGATGTATGTTTCTGCTGTAGTTGCTATGCTGTTGTAGCTTGCTGTCTGAGCAGACTGCAGAGCAGAGTCCTGGTTTGCAGGTGCTCTCTCTAACAGGGATTTTTTTTCCTCTTTGGCTATTAAGGTGTAATTTTAATTTGCATTAGGAAATCAAATGTTTTCTGTGTGTTTAAATGTATGAAGAAATAGGATGTTTTGGAAAATTTTTCTGTAAAGAGACTGTTTGATGCTGGACAATCTGTATTGTTGGAGGTAATATGGAGGTCATATTAATCCGTGTATAATATGACCTGGGTTCCTTTTCATTTTTGCTCTTGTCAAGCTAACATGCTCTGGACAAACCAGTGTCTGGTGACACTATAAATTCTTTGGAAATGGTAATGTCAGAAAAAAAGGAGTACGTTTAATACTTAGCACCGTGGGACTTGATACCGGTTAAGTACTTCTAACAAAATGTCAACACAAGTAAGTTAATGAAACAAGAGAGATCTAAAAACCTTCCTATTTGAACAGGACTCCATAGAAACACCATTTTAATGTGGCATAAATCAGTTTTGAATACAACCCTTTTACTATTTTGAAGATCCTCCCTTTCTGCTAAAATCCATGAGATTCCTAAAGCTTTTGAAAATTAATATTTTTGCTAGCCGTGCCTTCTAAGGATTTCTGATGCATGTTATTCCCTTAAAAGAAAGGAAAGTTTAAAAAATGACAAACTGTTGCTGTGCTTGCCTAAGAGGGCAATGGAGGGAGGAAGCCTTAAAAGTTATCTGGTCACCTGGGTCTGTTCTCTTCTCAGTTTGGCAAGAGGTTACTGGTTTTGCCATGTCCAGAGAAGCAAGCAGAAGTTTCAAGCATAAGAAACACTCTTCCTGAAAATATGTATTAAGGAAATTTGATGGTCGATATCTCTTTTGTTTTGCTGTCAAGAATGTATGGGCTTTCCCTCTTCCCTTTTCTCCACGTGGTTTTGAGCTCCGAGTTATTGTTGCTTTCCTTCTACCCAAGCCTTTCCCCAAAGCTTGTTTGTGCAACTGATGCTGTAGTTTCCAAACCTTGTCAGCCAGTGCTGACTGGAAGCAGCATTCTTGCTGGAGTCCCTCCCTGTGCCAGCACAAGTGTTTGTGGAGCTCTGCAGTGAACCAGTCTGATTGCTAACTTAGGCTGGTGGCTTTCTGTTGAGTTAGTTTTCATTTGGATCAGCTGTTTGGTGCAGTTTGCAGCACACAGCCGTGCTGTGCTTGCCTGTGAGCAGGGATGATACAGAAGTGAGAACAAGCAGCCCATGGCAAGAGGGACAGCACCACTTCATTCAGGGGCTGTGGTGACTTAAGGTACAAAGTGCACATCAAACTATGTCTTCTGTGCTGTGTCACAGACTTGTTTGGTTGATGTTACAACACTGCTTTTCTAGATCCTTGCCTTTTATTACACACTTGAAGCCCAAGCACAGTTTCTTTTCAGAGCTGCTGAGGTTTTGTTTGGAGACTAAGCTCTGGTTTTCAAACCCAGAAGCAAAGAGCAGCACAGTCCGGCTCCCAAACTGAATGTGAATTTGGTTTTGATGTGCAATAGATTCAGCTTCTGAGTCTGCAGAACTCCGTATGCATGCCTAGGTGAGAATTATTTCTAGAAGAATATTCTTATGAGGATTTGAATTTCTGTTATTCTTAGTGGGCTCAAAATATATGTCCCGTGTTGGCCATTTTTGTTCAGTCTGGGCTGTTGGTGGGAACTGGAAGTCACCACCTCCCGCTGGTGTTTGCTGGTCTGGATGACTAGTGACTTTTGTTCCGGTTTACAGTTTTGAAGTGTTGCTGAACTATAAAAACTCCTTGTCAGTTTTCAAACTACACAACATTGGTTTAGTAACAGTAGGAAAAAGATAGATACTCATAGTGCTTTTTTTGTGCTGAAGCACGCGTGGGTGAGTGTGGGGAAAATGTGTTAAGCAACTGGATGTTTTACTGCGTGTCCTGGTTTTGTACTGATAAAAGAAGTTGCCAGAAAGACAACACCGAAGATGCCATTTGTCTTTGAAATGTGCTCCAAGTTGTTGTTTGGCACCCTTTCTACAAGCAGTGAAACTTTGCAGTGGAGAGGAAGAACAGAGGAGAGAAAAGAACAACAATCCTGTTGCCTTAGAATTAGTTTTGCATCAACTTTGGCCAGATGAGAAATACTTGCTGTAGTTGTGACTTGCTTTCTTGTTAGGCTGTCTGGAGCAAATCATTAATGTAATTTATTTACAAAATACTCAAGTCTTCTGTTAGCCCTTGTCATTTATTATGTAGGGCTTCTGTGTGAAAGCCACATCTAATATTCTGTTACAGCTAGTGGGAATTTTGGCTGAGCTGTGGAATTCTATATAACATGATGAAATATTTGGACCTACTCTCAGAAAAATTTTATTTTTTTTTAGATTGTAGATAGAGGTTGCTATATTGCATGTTAGTTTAGGAGGCTGGGAGAAAGATGCTGTCATTGCGAAATAAAAGTGCCAGCACAAGTAGCTGGCTGAGAAGAACTGATTAGGAATAACTTCCTGCTTAGACAAGTCTATGTTTCAATGAAAGTTTGATAGCCTTATTTTAAGGAAATCTCTTCGTATTATAGTGACAGTGGCAGTTCACAGTGTGCTGTGCTGTATTGAAGTGTTCACATCAATAGCAAAGGAAATGATATCATGAATGGTTTTCTCCTCAGGTGCTGAAGAAGTCTTGCTGCTTGCTAGAAGGACTGACTTGAGGAGGATTTCCCTGGACATGCCAGATTTCACTGACATTATTCTGCAGATAGACAATATCAGACACGCAATTGCCATAGACTACGATCCTGTGGAAGGCTACATCTACTGGACTGATGATGATGTCCGGGCAATTCGTCGGGCCTACCTTGATGGCTCTGGAGCACAGACTCTGGTAACCACGGAAATCAACCATCCAGATGGTATTGCTGTGGATTGGGTGGCAAGGAACCTGTACTGGACTGATACTGGAACAGACCGCATTGAAGTGACCAGGTTGAATGGGACATCAAGAAAGATCCTTATCTCAGAAAACCTAGATGAACCTCGAGCAATAGTGCTCAATCCTGTAATGGGGTAAGTTTTGTGTTTATTGATAGCCCTGTGATAGGTCTTTGGATCCAGTCTGTGGTCTCCTGAAACTCAAAATCTGCAAATTGTGAGATGATGTGTGTATTATTTGTCAAATGTTCTGGCTATAACTGGCTTTCCCTTGCTTCATCCCTTTAATACTGTGTATATAAAAGGTGACTACTAAATAAAGTGTTCTTCAGTCAACCTATACATTTTGTGCTTGGTTGAATTTTCTTTTCTCTGCGTCTTCCTTGTTACCATAACTATGAAAGAATTGGGCCACTGCACATTTTCAATAGTTTAATTTATTTAATGCTCAAACTTTATAATGTCATTGCTGATTACAGTTCAAGTTGGCTTGTTTGCTGCAGTTAGAGAAGCAGAAAGTTAGTAAGTTCTTTCAAAGCAGGAAAGATCTTGACAGTTTTTTGTCTTGCATATTACATGCATTGACTGTTTCCCCTCTTTTTTTTTACAGCTACATGTATTGGACGGACTGGGGTGAAAGTCCGAAGATAGAATGTGCTTATTTGGATGGCTCAGAAAGGCGAGTTCTTGTGAATACATCCCTAGGTTGGCCTAATGGCTTGGCACTGGATCTTGAAAAAGACAAGCTTTACTGGGGAGATGCAAAAACAGATAAAATTGAGGTAAGTAATAGAGCCATACTTGGGTGCATTCTTAGAAAACGTGCAGTTCTTATGTGCCACCTTACGTCTTCGATACAGTTGCGCGTTTTTTGAGGAGTCTGTTTTTTTTTAATATTAACATGATATTTAGCATAACAAGACATATTTGAGAAGAAACGCATTCATGTGGTTCAGAAAACTTTTGCAAGAAATGTTATGTTTGTTGTGTCTGCATTGCTACAAGTGTAATTTAATTGCTTGAAATCTCAAGTTTTACCTGAGGCTTTTGCAATAAATTGAGACACTCAGGTACGATCTCTTTAAAAGATATTTTGACTTGTCTGTGGTGCTTAGAACTAGTATCTAAAATTGCATGTGAAAGACTTGATGCAAGGTTCGTGTACAGGAGAAGGTGGAGAGCCGTATTTCAGGAGCTTAATGATTATGTGGTGTCCAGATGCATGGACAAGAAGTAATTTTTAATGTATCACCTGTTTTGAAAACAATATAGTCATTCTGCCTCTGAATTTAAGGAGAAGAAATCCTCTTCACAATGTTGTATAAACATTTATGACAATATTTAATATTTCTTAATTGTCGAAACAATGTTTGATAGAACACAGTGTGATTCTTTTATGCCCCACTTTCTTTGGGAAGAATTTTCTTAAAAATGCAAAAAAAATCATCCTGTCTACCTGTTGCTCAAGCACTAGAGAAAATTACCCGCTCATTTGTTATAATGTGCTCTCAGGAGTAAGGTAGTGAAGTGTCTCTGGAGATTCACTGCTTTAAATTTAAAATGCGATCAAAGCAGGCATCGTACTGATCTAATCATGGACCTTTACAGTTGCACTGGGGAGGCCCAAGATGTTTTAGGAGACATTCTCCAAAAGGAGATGCCATTTTACCCATTCTTTTTGCATTAGTATCCCATGATTAAATCTTAATCTAAAAGAATAATTGTGCTGCCACAGAAGTGAAACAAGTCTTAGATATCGCTGCAGAGAACTGAGTCCCACAGTAGTTTCACTCAGAGCAGAAGGTGATAAATGAAATAACTGAAAGAGCTAGAATGAAGGTTTGGGGCAAGGTTTTTTTGGGCTTCTTAGCACGTGTTCGTGAGATTCTGAGGTTTCAGTGAATTACTAACAACAGTATTCAACTGAGAGGAAATTCAGCAAATTGATAGAGCTTGATAATATTGTGATGTAGAAGGGACACATGGTCTTTGTGTAATCTAGAAATACTGATCAACAGCCGTTTTATATGTTTGTTGTGGATGTGTTCATGAAGTTGCTGAAGACCTGTATGTCGTAGCGGGCTTACTTGCATGAGTGTGTCCGTTTAATCTGAGACAGCTGAGGGTATGGATGAGAATATGCATACAACCAGATGTTGTGAAGAATCCTCAATCAGTTGCTTAAGATCCTGTTGTGTTCCTCACTACCCTCAATGATTAGTTTCTAGATAAAATATTTGTTGAAGAAGTGCATCTTGTTACTGGACATTTGTGCTCATATTTCTAAGAAGGAAAAATTGGATTTTGAACCTCAGTCTAAAGTTGTTATAGTAGGTTATGATTAACCTGAGGGTTTGGATGACAGCATGAGACGTGACCTGAGATCAGGCAAATTCAAAAATTCCTATTCAGTTACCATTAGGTCATTAGATTTTTCAGCCAGACAAATGTTCCTTTTTAATGTCTTGTTAAGCTCCAGGTGATCGGTGACCATAGGTTGTGGTATGTTCTTAGTGTGAAGTACTTGTTTATCTTCCACAAATATGTCAGAAGAACAGTTTGAATATTAAAGGTGCTAAATAATTAGCTCTGAGTGTTTTCATTCTCCAGGGAATTTGAATCAGCTTCAAAGTAAGACGAGGGGAATAACTAGCTAACTGAGATAAATTCATAAAAACAATTATCAAACTCGAATGTGAGAGTAAAGACCCAACAAATTTTTTTTCTCTTTAAAGCAATAATTAAAAGTTTTCTTCCTATGGTATAAGCTAACTTGCTGAAATTGTGTTTTGACTATACTGTTAACAGCAGTCTATTTCTATACAAATGCCTAAGAAAAGCAATATAGAAATTTTTCCGTTGGTCATGGCCTGTGAAGTTGATTGAGTTTTCATGCTGTTCGGGGGTGTGGCATAGGCAGCATTTTTAAATAAATAAATTTTGCGAAATGACTCTGCTTTGTAAAGGTTTTGCCCTCAGGAAGAGAGGCAAGACTGTCTGCTAGCTCCAGAGATTTAACTTCAGTGTTTGGCTGTAGCTAAGTACTGGGCTTGATGAGTACCAGAGAAGTCCTGTCCCTCCTTACCTTTCAGCCTGCAGGACAGGGAAGATTCCAGATGCCACCTTTTATTGCTTTTGTAGTTGTGCAATGCATTTCATGGGTTTAAGTGGTCTATTCATTCTGTCTCACTTCATTGTAAGGCAGCGAAGCCAGCAACGCTGTTTGGTTTGGCATCGAAGTTTAGGAAAATCAGAGAAGCCAACGTAAGGGCTTTTTATTCCCTCAGTTTTTCTTTTGCTTATTATACTTACTTTTTGTGGTTCTCTTCTATTTGCAAAAATAGAGAGAAGAGGGTGGTTCACTTGGTCTTGCAAACAGAAGATATTCTTTCATGTGAAGTGGATTGTGACATCTGTAGATACATCGATTCCTATATATTGTGCAACCCCATTTTAATTGCTGGCACAAAAAGTGAAATCTTCATGCTCCTAGCAATGGCTTCCACATTTTCTTAGATTAAAACAAGTGTGAATACTCTCATTTTAAGTCTATCCTCTCTTTTTCTGTTGTTTTTGCACTTTTTATGCTTGGAGTTTACATTTGTTAGCTATCATGAACAGACTTCTCCTGAGGCTGTATTTACAAATATCTGAATAAGCCCACTTAGGATATGACAGGGTAAAAAAATCATGTGTGTTTGCCCGGAGTTCTGCACCATGCTGTGAAGGAGTCTGTTGTGCTCTGTTCTGGACTGGCAGGAGTTAAAATGGCACTGACATGTTATCAGTAGAAATGGATGTCAGATGTCTATTACAGAACTTCCATTAGAAAATAAATTTTCAGTTTCCATTTTGGAAGATGTGCCAGACACGTTTGTATATTCTGCGCTCTTGTGAGAGAGCTGTGTGACTTAACCTGTCTCTGACACAGCTCAGATACTGGCCAGTTTGAGGCTGGTTTCTAATAGAGCTTCTTTTCATTAATACTCCTCAGCCAAGACGAAGAAAGTGTGCTAAGGAAATATTTTAGAATAGAAGCAAATTGATCTGATGAATTGTATTTCATATTTATTGGTCATCTTGCTATGTTTGTAACCTAACAGTCTTTTTCTGCAAGATTTCTTTGTTTGGGAGGTACTGTCAATACCCTAGGTTTCCCCATAAGCCACAGTTTGTGCTACTCTGCTGGCCCCAGTGCATGTGAAACCGCACTGTGTGGTGTATGAGGTGGGGCATTGCCATTTTTACTTGCTGTTGAAGTTACTCAGCATAAACTCTTTCTCTTATGCACGTGCTCTGTTGCCAAGAGCATGCCATTGAAGTGGCTGGGCAATGCAGCCGGTGGCTCTGTGATTTGTTCTGTGTATGTACGTGTGTTGCATCCACAGCTTGTCAGAAACAAGAACTAGCTGACTGCATGTCAGGGATACACGTTTATATTTTATACTGTAGTTGACCTAGCTGAGTATTAGGATTTTTCTTTTTCCTGGTAAGCACCTAAAACTACCTTGAACCGTGTTACTGGAAAAATTTAGTTTATGTACACATAAAAGTAGCATAGGTGGGACAGTAGGAAGGAGGAAGCCTTCAACCGACTGGAGGGCCCCTACACGGTTCAGAAAGTGGCACTCTGCGGCTGCACTCTACTGCAGAAGGCAAAGAAAGTGGCTTGTGGCATGTGGACTGCTCTGTGCTGGAGGTAGGACGACGAAGAGCTCTCAGATTGTACGGGAGAAGGACAGTGACTGGGCCATACATTGCTCTGCACTGGAAAAGTTGACTGTATAATGTAAAAAGTGCACTGTGTAGGCTTTTCTGTAGCTTTCTGACAGCTGCTTGTATTTGAGAATTGCTTTCATCACATAGCATGCCTTCAACTGCTTTCCATATAGAAAAAAATGAGGGAATATAGCTTGTGCGTATTTGTGCATATCTGCACTTGGTATTCTGCTCTGGTTTCCAGTGTTTGAGATTTGCAGGGAGTCATCTTAGTCTCCCTGGGAAGGCCCTGTTCATATCCGAAGTTCTTAAACAGTGACTGAACTTTGTACAGCTTGGAAATTTGATAAACTGAAGACATCTGTTCTATTTTTGCTGGACCTCGGGTTGGAAATGTACCATAAATGTCTCTGGTTTGGTTTTTTGGTTTGTTTGTTTTGAAGGTGGTTTTGTTTGGTTTTGGTAACACGTTTTGACATTACGCTTAGATGCGCTTTTCCACAATTAGAAAAGAAATGCTGCAGAGCTGTTGAGGGTACCAAGCAGCGTCCCATCCCAGGAGAGTATGTTCTTATTTGTGTGTGTGAAACTTCACGGGGTGAAAACAGCAGTTACACTTTCCTGGCAAGAACCCTTTCCTAACCTTCCCATCGGCAGCATTCAGCTGCAACACAAAGGGCTCAGTCACTGCGCAAGCACTTTGCATCCTGAAGAAACCATTTGGCAAGGCTTGTCAAAATTTTGTGTGACAGGAGCATATGGGGCTTTCACTGCAAATTTGGCACCCTGTAGTAGCATTGTTCCCAGCTTTCAATTTAATTGTTGTTGTTTTTTTTTTTTAAATTAGTTTGGCAAAGTGTATGGCAAGGAAAAATAGATAGCAAATTTTGAGTCGTGTCTGTCGAAATCATCTGTTTGTCTGCACATGTAGCTTCAGCTACGAGTAAAAGGCGTGGATTAATCCAACTGAACTCTGGATTTTACTGGCAGAGAAAAGGTACTTTCCAGGAACAAACAGCAGATTAATAAGGATTACAGGATTCCAGCAGAGAGAGAAGCAAAG